TTTAAATTTTATTTATGTATATATATATATATATATACAAAAATAAAATTTAAACAAATATTAAAACGATTTTTTTTTCTTTAATTACGATAAATAAAACATTTTGTTACCTTGCACTGCTTCTACTGTTAAGAATACATCTCGTTCTAGCCATGCAACTACCGATACTACTGCATTTGTTAGATACTATTTCAACTTCAAGTGGTTTTGACGGTACTTTTACAAGTGCATCTATTGCTGATCTTATCACTGATGCAAATAATTCTTCTTCTGTTGGCTCTATTTTTTACCGTTACTTTGGAAATCTTGAGTTTGCTATAATGTTTTAAAAAGGTCTCATACTATATAAGATTTTTTTTCATAATTATACCTTGTTTGGCATTATTTATTTTCTTTAACTTTCTGCATCACGTAGGCATTTATAAACGTAAAAAATATTTATAAATAATAAATTGGCACAAAACCTCATTGAAATTATGAGAAGTTATGTGAAAAAATAGAAATTGATGCAATCAGTTTAAATAACTTTTATAGAAATCTTCTAAACACTATTTGATTTAAGTTATCATAAGCAATATGAATCTCATGTACAACGTACCCATGCATGGGGTCGTAGATAATTTGATCTTCCATTTAAACGTTTGAACTTCCGTATGTTTAATATTTTTTACTTTTTTTATTTGAAAAGAGTTATAACTTGAGCAATACTACGAATACTGATACTTAAAGGTAAACTTGTGAAACTTTTAAAAATATGATATGCATAAGATGTAGGTATTACAACAAAAAGTTAAAAAGCTTATTAGTTAAGAGACATATTGCTTGTGTGTCTCCTCTTCATAGCCCTCCCCTCACCCAAGTTTAAAAAAAAATTTCTACGACCATTATTTACAATTCATAAAAAAGGCTAATAATGGTATTTTTTGCCCTCCACAGCGGATTGAAATAAATAAATTAAAAATTTGTGGTTTATAGTATGTATTGCTGGCTATTAACATATTGTACCAATGAGTTACTAAGGGTATTTGTGTCAACAACCCGTCATATTACTGGGCTACTTGGGACTCTCTCGTGGTCCCCGTTTTAAATATATAATTTTTATGATAAGAAACAATGATAGCAAATTTAATAGTATTGTTAATCATTGTTAGCAAAAAATGCATTATTGCAAAGGATAACTCGTAGAAGACTAAGGAGTCTTGTCATCGAGTACCTTAATTTGATGTTTTATAAGGTTATCAATGTTAAATATTAGTGATAAACATAAATGTTTAATACATATCAACAAAACTGTTGAATTGAGTATGTGATATTTTAGTTTTTTTTTTAAAGTGACAAGATTATTTATTGTTCAGAGTTCTATATGTTTGGATTTTATTTTGTTATATAGGTACGGACCTCGGTATGAGATAAAGAACTGTAATTTTGCTTTTTTTATTGACAATGTAAACTTTCTTGTTTCTCTTGTGGTGTATCTGTTTATGTTAATTTAAAAAACTTTTTCTGTAAAATGTGGTGGCACTAATCCTAGTTTGTATTTAAGCATAAATAAAATATATTGGCAGACATTAATTTGGTGGATATTTAGCCCATTCAAGGCTTTTAGTAAGGGTTCAGTTTGAGTAAATTTTTATTTATTTATTATAAGTATACTAGTCTTGATGCATGTTTATGTTTTAAATGAAGAGATTATCTTTAGCTCCATTAATCAAAGCTCATTCTCGCTAGATTCATCTGTCACCACAGTCGCATCTTTTTAACGTATCTGTCGTTTTAAGGTTTAAAAAATTTTATTTATCTAGTTTTTTATCTCGCGCATCGGTATTTTGTAACTCTCTCCCATCTTTATGTTTTCCGACTTTTCATCAACTGTTTTCCCTCTCCTCCCCTAGGTCCATCCTTTTTTAATATATACAAATTACTTCTGCCATGCATCCTTAAAACTGAATTCAGTCATGTTTGCATATGACACGAATCTATTTCTCACCAACAATGATATCAAAAAATTATATGCGGACATGAATATAAAACTAGATAAAGTAAACAACTGGTTTAAGGCTTACAAACTCTCGCTTAATGCTGAGAAAACAAAGTATATACTCTTTCATAAAAAAACACAAGAGGAAAATCTTCCTCTCAAATTGCCTAACCTATTCCTAAATGATAAACAAATCAAAAAGCAATCCAATATAAGATTCTTAGGAATCGTTGTTGATGAAAAGTTATCCTGGCTTCATCATACAATATGCATCCAGTCAAAAATCACCAAAATCATAGGTTTGATGAATCGAGTTCGCTTTTTCGTGAAAACACAAAGTCTTAAATTAATCTACTTTGGGCTAATTACGAGCTTCATCAGCTATGAATTAGCCCAACGCTAATTCATTGCTGATGGGCAAGTACTCAAGCATCAAAGCTTAATAAACTGAATAGTTTACAAAAACATGCTAGCAGAATCATTTACTATAAGGATAGGTGTGAACACGCTAAACCCTTAATGAAAGATATGAAAATGATGAATGTGTTTGAAATAAATATCTATCAGCATTTAATTTTCATGTATTGTTAAAATTACAAAAATCTCTCCTATAAACTAATAACAAATTTAAATTAAATAAAAATGAAAACTATAATCTTAGAGAAAGTATGTTAAACACATATAAACTACCTCGGATAATAAATAAATATTCAGAATATAGTATTTCATACCGAGGTCCTAAAGTATGGAATACTTTTCAAAAAGGATTCAAAGGTACGGTAAATTCGTTGAGTTCATTCAAGTTTATAAAATTTTTTTTTTTTTTTAAATTTGAAAAATGTTTTTAATTAATGTTACTACTTTACTTTTGTTTGTTGCTTAACAATTTCATTTGTGAATTATCCATTTTATTACGATATTTATTACGATATTTAATTGAAATTTAATTGAAATTTAATTGAAATTTAATTACGTATACATGGGGAAGGGAGGGGGGCTTAAAATTCTTTTTTTTTCTTGTTTAACTTGTTATTCTTAATTTATTTTTTGAGAAAAGTTCAAAAAACGATTCAATTTTTTGCTAATTTTTTATGGTTGACCTTCTACTTCTATTTTAAAAATTTAAAGATATAAAAATTTAATTAACGCAACTTTTCTTTCAAATTTATGCTGTTCAAATTTTGATTGGATGAATTTGATTTTTAATCGTTGCGTTTTAATAAAAAAAAAGTTTTATCCGAAGTCTCTTTCTAAACAAAACATTTTAAGTAATCAAAAAAACAGATAGCTTCAAAATATCTTAATTTCCTTTTTTTTATATTTATTTTTAATCGTTATTAAAGCTATCAAGAAGGCTATTCAAGATTTCTTTTTTTTTTTTCACTTTTCTTTAATGAAGTCAAGAATAAATCTTCTTTTAAAGAACCAGTCAGTAGAAGTTCAGTTAAATTCTAAAGGTTTAACAACTATAAAGATAAACAATTAGTATAAATGAATACCGCTACCAAAAGGCTTTATAAAAAACAAACTGGGTGATCAAATTTTGAAATTTTCTGCTTTACTCTAAAACGCCGTGAATTGCTAGTTAAAAAAAAGTCAACAAGCAGTTACTAAGTATATCTCAAAGATATTGAATGATTGTATCATTCTTGCTAGAGTATTCTTGAAGAGCAGCAACTTTACATCAGGTGTGCAATACGTGTGCAATACGAGTTCTATTTAAGTTTGATTAAAGTTACAAGGCGGCCCATTTAACCGTAAACTAGACATTATTGAAGTAGATAAAGATATGTAAAAATGAAAAAAAGATCGAAAAATGAGGTTCTTTATTTTGGGGATACAAGTAAGTCATTGTCGCGGAGGTCTATTCTGTTTAAATATATGATTGTTGATATAAAAATACAAACCTCCATTTTATGTCTACCAAAGAACACGCTCATAACCTAGATGTTCTATATGGAAAGTTGTCGCGGCAATCCTCTATTACATGTGATGACTTTTATAGTTTTTTTCCATTTTCAATACTAAAAATAACAAACTGTATGAATTATTTTCATATATAATGTTTATTTTTTTTTTTTTTTTACTTATAAATTATAGTGTATATTATTGATATATTAAACAGAAAAAGATTTCTACTTTTCTGCTTTTCTTATATTTAATGATAATAATAATTTCATCTATTTTAAACAATGTCTTTTTTTTGTCAAAATATTCACTTTTGTTAAAATCGAAGTAGAAGACTAAATAATTAAAATGAAAAAAAATTGATTATGATTTTCAGAATCAGCATAAAAACTAATTAAGAAAAGTTGTTTAAACTATGAAAAATCTAAAAAAAGATGATTATGGGCCCCCCATAGTATATATTTTACGAAATTTTATTACGTATTACATATTACAATATTTTACTGAAATTTTGTTATAAGGGCTCTATGAAAAGATTTCGATGACGTACTGTCATCCTCATCTTCTTCGAGCCTCTATCTGTTTTACTTACTTTTTTTTATGAAGGATGCAGTGGTAAAGTTCTTATGTTATATTAAAACAGAAAAGAAAAAGAGAAAAAAATAGTGTGCAAGCCAATAGATAGTCGGATATATATCCGACTTATATATATCTATTATAGATATATATAAGTCGGATAATCTATATAAATATAATGAAGAAATACGACTTGAGTGATTTAATCAAAAAATGCTGAGTGAAATTTAACTTTTATAGTTAAAGACATGCTTGACTACATAAAGTTGCAATCTGGTTCGTTTGCAGGGTTCGCAGTTACTCATAAAAAATCTGATATTTATTTGGTTTGATATATTTGATGTATTTGACTGATCAAATGCATCAAATACATCAAACCAAAATAAATATCAGATTTTTCATATTTTTTAACGAATTATCCGATTCGTTAAAGAAAAAAATACTTTTTCAAGTAATGTATTATGGGAGAAATTTTATATTCGAATAATCGTACCTCTGTGGAATCGTGATTGCTAGTCGGGAATTTTAGAAAAATAGGAAAGTGTTTTTGTAATTGCCGGCTCTAAAATTTTTAATCATGTCTTATAATGCATGAAGTTTGATGTCGATGAATAAATTAATCTGAATATATTGTAAATATATTTAGATTAATTAAAAAAGAAATTGTCATTAATGAAGAAATTTTGAAAATTATTTTTTCTCGCTTCAAAGACTGAGGTAAGATTGTTTTATTTTCATTTCTAAAACCGGTTTTGTATTTATCAAATAAAATAAGATAACAAAGATCAAATTATTATTTTATTTAAAGATAATAAATTGTATATCTCTACACAATACTTTTTTGTGTGTAAAGTGTCACGATTTTTCAAACTGTATTAACTTTGTCAATTGATACTGTCGTATAAAAGCTGCTCTCAACAAACCTAAGCACTAAGGACCTTAGTGATAAGGTTTGTTTTCTAAATTCTTAATTTATACACAGATTCCTTTAAAATTGATCTTTCTCATAGTTGCAAAAACATTTCTTTTATTTTATGTAACTAAAGTAACAACTAATGTCATTATTTATTACTTGTTTACTGCAATCTAAAACTATTGATATCTTAAATGGCTTGCACCTTATCACTGTACTTAAAAATGCATTTGTTTTTTTTTTAAATATATAATGTATTTTAAAATAAATTTGTTTTCTTTCGAATAAATCTGATGTTTTTGTTTATAAACCTATAAATTACCCTATTCAAACATAATCTTTCTAATGTTTTAGCAGAATTTGTGACTGACTAATTTAAAGAAGCTGTTACCAACCCTCTTATAGAACAAGGTAATATCCCCAGCCAGGATAGCTCAGTTGGTTATCATGCTGTTCAATTATTGAATTTCCATCAGGCCATAGTAACAGTGTTGTGTGGTTTAATCCCATGCTCTGGCACTCATATATGAGAGGCATCTGAATGTATAAATGTGTTGATATTGTATTCATAATCAATAATATATAACAAATCTTGTAAACACAGATGTATATACCTTTTTTAGTATATATAAAAAAAAGTATATACATCTATATCTACAAAAATGAAAGCAGATATTTCTCCCGCAATTATTGTGTTTAATAAAATTTCTTATCTTAAAAGACTAAAAAGCAAAGTGTGTCAGCGTGAAAAGATTGAAACTTTCTGTAATTTTATAATAGTAATTTTCATAAAATTAGTGCTTCAAGTGAAGAGCTTCGTCTTTAAGAAAAATATTGAGAAAATTTCTCTGGATCTATTTTTAACAATATATTTTTAACTCATGGATCAATATCATTTCCAAGATTTTAATATCTTTATGAGTGATGAGCTGTCTTTATTAACACTGTAAAGATTCTAACTTGGTTTATGAGTTAGAATCTTCATAATGTCACACTAAAAACACTAGTTTTGTATATTAGTTTAAGATTTAAAATGAAATCAAGTTGTAAAAATATTATTTAAATTTACTCTTTCATATATTATTTTTACTAAGCCAAAAATTATTGATTTGTATGTCAATATATAGTATTTGACCTAATGATATAAATTAGATTGTGGTCTTTTCTTGAAATTTGCAAAAATGCACCTTTTATAAATAATATAATATTGTTTACTTTCTATGCTTTTTATTATACTTAATATGTTTTTTATAAAACAAATTTTCGAGATTTTTTAATAATTTTCCTTCTTTGAGTACCAGGTTGACCTACTTTTGAAAACTTTTATTTTCAAAACATTGGGACCTTTTAAATGTTTAAGGGTCTTGGGGGCAACTCTAAATGTATTTTTTATTCAATTTTTTCTATTTCCAGTGTTATTTTATTATATAGAATACAGGGGTAATGAAATGCCATTTTTGAAAATTGTTGTTTTTCAGCCTTCCCTAATCTACATCGTTTGTAGATAAATTTAATAATGAAAATTAGAATGTTTCTAAATATTTTATTAATTTTTATTACTATACTAAACATGTTTAATCTACTAAATTAATTTTAAAAATTAACAAACAGTTGTTTTTTATTGACCAATAAAAGAGTTGTGGAGAAAGTTCTAACTAAAGGATGAGAAATGATTATAAAATTACTGGTCACTTGCACTCAAAATTTATGCATAATAAGCTTAATTAACTCTTCCTATCAATAGACAAATCAGGTTGTTGTCCAGATGTGATAAATGAGGGGAGATAAGAAAGTAAGAGGGGATAAGGGGTTCTTAATAAGTTCAGGGTGGATGAGAATATTTTCTGAAAATCAATAACCATTAACTTCTGTGTATTAACACTTAAGAGTACAACTTTTTTTTTTTCCTTTGATTTTTCATAATTTCTGTTTTATAAGTAACTAATTTAAGTAAATTAGACCATGTCTTTTTTTTCTCTATTTAAGAAAAGAGCTACATTGCATTTTTGTAATTGAACTCACCCCAGTAAAATTGCAATAAAATTTAAAATTACAGGTGTTATGTTTGTTTTGAAATATTTTAAGTTGTTTTATTGGATTCCTTGCCTCAAAATATGTAAGTGGACATATTTTTAGCTTTCCATTGCACGCAAAACAGAAACAAAGACCAAAACCATTTTTTTAAATGGCAGATTTTTGTTGATTCACAGCAAAGATTAAATAGATATATCTTTGAAACTGTTTGGAATCAGATGATGAATTTTTAGGGATATTCACAACTCATTAAAATCTTTGAGTGGTGTAAAAATCAGCAAAATCTGAGGCTTACGGTTGCATTTTACAAAAAAATTGATTGTTTTCACGCAGAATTGCCCTACACTCTAAATTCAAAATTTATTTATCTCATTTTACACCATGATAATTTTTGTAGCAATTTTGTGCTTTTATGCAACAAAAGAAGACTAATACATCAATTATCTGTACATTTTGTACAGATAATTGATGTATTACCAGTTTTGCAACTTATACAACAATTTTTTTTAATTGAGACTGGAAAGCGGCTTATTTTATCTTGCCTAATATCATTTGATAGATCAGTTATACTTGGTGGCCTTCGCATATAATATATATAGTTTTTTTGTTTTGTTTTTGTTAGTAATTGGGAATCTCCCCCTTGCCTCAAGATAATGGGTTTGCAAGTTTTTCAGCTTTACCCAGTGAACCACCATTTCAATTGTGATTAAGGTCAACTTTTTAAAATGTTTAATTTTGACATAAATCAACTAAATAATTATAACTACCTATTCGGTGTAGATAAAGCAATTTACAAATTATTTGAATTCTTTTATTTGGAATTAGCATGATTTTATCAGTGTACTATGTCCAAACAAGAGCTTTAGATGTTATAATTTTTTTTTGCTTCAGGTTTTTTTAATATTTAAAGAAACATTACCTTTTTTTAGTAAAAATCTTTTGAAAAAGTGTCTTAAACCACTATAGATCCTAGTTCTAAGCGGTTCTGACATGTATTAAATATATATAGTTGTCAAATACAATATTTCTATCAATTTTCACAAAAAATACTAGAATTCTGACCAAGAAAAAGCATTTCACCTAAAAAGCCTGTTTATTTAAAACCTTTTTAAATTTGATAAGCAATAGTGATTTTAAGAAGATTTTAAAAAAAAAAATCTTAGTCTGGGTTTTTTCGCTGCAAACATTCATATTTAGTGATTTAAAATTGCCTTAACTACACCGAGTATGCCAAAAATATTTTCACCGCCTATGTTTTTACCACCCATATTTTTATGGTACTCTTCGATGTCGATGTAGATATCCTGAATTTGATAGTCTATCCTGAATTTGATTGTCGATGTAGCAGCAGCAAAATTATTAGATAGTCAATGTAGCAGCACTTCGCAGCGGAGTACTGCTACATTAACTGAGGGTTTGGTTTGGGCAGCCAGTCTATCATTTTAGAAAAAAAAAAAATGAGTTTACTATTTTACATATTTCAGGAATTCGGCAACGCCAGTGCCGAATTTGTGAAATAGGCAAAATAGTAAAGTCTAAACTTTACATAAACTTCTTTGTTTTACTCCCTATTTTTGCAGCTGTTCAGTATTCTTATAGCATGTAATAGTCAATGTTGTTACTACTGAATCATTGTAATTCCTGAATTTGCATCTACTACATAATCAATACTACTGTCTTTTTTTTTCGGATCCTTTTCAAGACATAGTCCTGTCTTAACTATTGCTATAGCAATAGATGGCATGAGCCCATGTCCATAATATCACATTTATAGAAAACTGCATTTGTTTAAATAATTGTTTTATATCATACATTATGAAATACAATACACACTGTAACTACTTTATTAGTTACAAAGGAGAGTCAATAACATAAGTTATTGACTCTCCTTTGTAAATGCTTTTGATTAGTCGTAATGGTAAAAAATTACTGTTCTTTTAATTGGCAAATGGCAAAACATCAGTTGAGCATTGGTCCTTGTCCATATTTTTAATGTCCACTATTCTCAATATACACCTTTTATGACATAACATACCGCAACACTAACTAAATAACATTTCCTTATCATCTTCATTATCTTCATTTTGAGATGTAAGATTTTGGAAAAAGCTGTGATGCACTGGAGGTATGTAAGGAAAAAGTTGCTTGAAATCCTTCAATTTTACTTCATCGAGTTGTCTTTCTTCTGGATATAAAATAACTGGACCAGCAGCAGTTATGGATGAAGGACAACTTTTCTTTTGTCTTGAAAAATCTGCAATCTTCCAAGTTTCTAAGTTGTTTAATGAGTACTCGAATTGCATCATCTTTGAGTTTCTAGATTCTATACATAGACACTGAATGTGTAACCATTTAACCTGTTGTCTATCAATAGCCTTATGTCTGTTAACAACAACATCTTTCATCCAATCAGCGAGAGACAGATATTTGTTTTTCTGCATTTTAATAACCTGAAAAAATGGTTTCTTTTTCTTTGCTTTTGATGCCAATTCCATCCATTGTTCATGAATGTATAAGTCATGCTTGTGACGACCTCTTTCAATAAAACAAAATCGGCATCTTTAGGCAGAAAACTGTGACCATAAATCTTTGTTCAAAAATTCTGGCTCTTGCTGACATGAAAACATCCTACCATAGCCATCTTGAAATTTCGATTTTGGCCTCCGTAGTTGTTAGAATATGTTACAATATCTTTCACACCATTCTTTAACCTTTGCAGACAATACTTCAACTAATTTCATCTGGTCCTCTTGAAGCCATTGTTTCATGC